CTGCATACATGCAGCTTCTGTGCTGCTTCGACTCTGCTTACACATCCAGTGTGAAACGGGCATAAGAAACCCAAATATCTCAGTCATTTTTTATCACACGCTTGAGGTATTCAGCCAATCACAACGCATTGGATAGCTGGCCAATCACAGCACACCTCGCTTTTCAGAACGATGAGCTTTGTAAAAATCGACGCGTTTCAGAATGAAGGGGCATAGAGGAGAAACAATAATGTACAGTATGTGAAAAATAATGTGTTTTTTGAAACTTAAACCGCATAAACACATTTCATTACACCAAATACACAAAATAATGTTCTTTTTTAGCAACGTCATATGACCCCTTTAAATATTTCCCTTAACATTTTTAATTATAAAGACGTAATTTTGGGGAGTTTGGGAGTAAAAAGATAAGTGAGCTAGGTTTTTAAACCAACAGACAACAAGGACACAAAAATAAAATATAAAATAAATATAAAGAAAACAACACTGGTACCCACTGACTTTCACTGTACAGACAAAAAAACAAAAAATTTTTGTCAAAAAAAAATTCTATCATCATTTACTTGTTGTTCACCCTTTTTGTTCAGTAAGGGCTCAGACATTTTTCAAAATCAGTAAATTAATGAGTAAATGATTACAGAATTTTTCCCTGTGAAAATGTGAACTTTATAATTCGGAGGTGTAATAATGTTGGACATATAAAAAACTAAAACACCATATAGACAGCTGACAAAGGTCTGTTTTATAGCAGAGACTTGGCCAGTGAGGCCAAGTAGAGAAGGGGGGAAAAGGCAGAAAAAGGAGGATAAAGTAACCGATGAAGGACAGGACCCCATGAGCCAGCCTCGTCTGTGCTGCCAGAATTTCCTTAGGAGAGGACGAAGAGTTCCAGAAAACTACTGGCAGCACAGACGGGAGCAAACAATGGAGGCGATGAAACCTGCATGCACAAAACTGATGGGAAACTGTTCTCAGTGGCTGCACCCATCATGCAGAGCAGCAGCAGAGGCGGAGATGGGGAGGAGGAGGGTCTCAGGGCCAATAGGTGGGAGAGAAGTGTTACAAAACAAATGTAATCAAAAAAACAAACAAAACATTTTGAAAGTAAGGCTCGTTTCACACTAGAGTCATACGAGGCGCTTATTTTTTTTCAGCACCCATGTTAACAGATTAGAGCATCCACACTGTGCACTAAAAAGGCATGGCAATGCGCACCGCTTACGCTCTGCATACATGCAGCTTCTGTGCTGCTTCGACTCTGCTTACACATCCAGTGTGAAACGGGCATAAGAAACCCAAATATCTCAGTCATTTTTTTTCAAAAGTGATTAACCCTGGTTTACAATTCATAACATGGACAACAGAACCTGACAATAAATAAAGAATAAATAAACATTTCATGTATCCAAACTAATAGTGCCAAAAAAACAGATAACTAGAGAAAACACATTAAAATGTATATGAACTCATGGGTATGTGTAATATGTATTAGGGTTGGGCCGATAGACGATGCCATCGTCCATCGCCGATGGCTGACAGACATCACGATGTTAAGCTGACATCGTGATTCCTCAACCCCACCCCCTCTCCCGCAATCCGCCGCATCCCAGTTCCGTGTTCGGGAAAGAAATGAAGTGTACTACGGAAACCCTAAAGGGAATAAATAGCCTACGAG